TCTCTGTTGTCTCTTTTCTGCGTTTCTCTTTCCTCCCCCCACTCCCCTTTCTAATAAAATTTCTCACGTAAACCCTGCCTGGCGTGTTTGTCCCTCCGCCTCGGTCACCCTGCCACGCCATGGAATCCACCATAGTCCCCCATTCAAGGTTCCCCTTTGAGCTTTATCCTAACGGGCCATTCTGGAAACCAAAGTCTTAGAGCAAGAGTGGAAAGCAAGCCACGCCCATCCTGTAGCACAGGTAAGTGTGGGCCTAGATGTTGCTTGAAACCTACCCTAAGTCTACCCAGGATTTCCCAAGCAACAGTTAACCACCAGTAGGCTGGAAAGCAAGGCATTTTGAGGGGTTGAAGGTATATCAGGGAGCTCTGAGCTTTACGAGTAAGAGAAGGAAATCTCTCAGACTGCTGGGAGCCCCGTCTCCTCTGCTGCCATGGAGAAGCTGGCAGGAGTAGGGACTCTGGGCTGCTCTGCACAGAAGTGCTCATTCCCGTCTCTTTGAAAAGGACAGGACTGAGAGCAAGGTCACAAGCTGATCCAGCTGGGACCAGAACCTGTCTCTTCATTGGCACCTGTGTCTGGCTTCCTCTGCGCACTGCGTAGTCCCCCGCCCTCTCCTTTCTGGTCACTTGCCTGGAAGGCAGCCACGCTGTGTATCTCTCACCTGTCCCCACCCACCTCCACCACAGCCTCCAGCCGCTGCTCGCCTGACTGGCTCTAATGAGATTACAGATGTCCAGCGACACAGGCAGGTTAATTCCCTCTGGATTAGAGGTCAGGCCAGGCCACAAGCGGGAGCAGAAAGGAATCTCCCTCTGAGATGCTGTGTGATGATGGTTGAAAAGTTTCTACACCCCAATAAACCTCTCCACCAACGCGGCAATCCAAATCAAACCGAATTAGAAAAAGCCCATGTTTAATGGATACAACTCTCCCAGACGGCCTTCCAGCCCCCAGAGAGGAGATGGGAAAGGGAGACCAGAAAAACCATGAGTCTATTTTCTGGGAGGCAGTTTAAATACCCTGTGGGAGTGGTCTTGCACATCTCTGGGGAAGAGGTCATCGTTTGGTGGGCTTTCTGAGTTGCAGCAGGGTTTGGAGAGAGAGAGGGGAGGGGCTTAGGTGGAACTTCCACCATAACACCCAGACTCTTTGGGTATACGGATGCCCGGGGCTGGGGTGAAGCTTCCACCATAACAATGGTTCCAGACATGGTCACTGCTTAGCAAACTATTTTGCGATTACCCTCACGTATATTCCCTCTGGCTAGATGCTATTATCATCTCTGTTTTATGAGTAGGGAGACTTAAATGGAGTGAGAGGAAGTGGTTTCACAGATCACTCAGCTATCGAGGAGCAGACCTGGGTCTCAAACGCAGATCTCCCGTGCTTTACCATCTTAAAAATAGGAAGCCTGGGCGCCTTAAACCTGGTCAAAGGCCTGTGGCTGGAGAGGCCATAGACCCTGTTGGGGTGGGGCCCTATTATTGTTGTTTTGCTAGACAGTTCTGTTAAACTGCGTTCTAAGAAGTTGTGCTTACTGCATTGTCAGCCTCAGTCACAGAGGCTTCTCCTCCCAGAGGGCTGCAGTGGCAGTATGGCTGCCCCACATGCCGAGGAGTGACTGGCCCTAAATGGGACATCCCGGGAGAGAGGGCAGAGAGACTGTAAGAGTAGTGACACTCCCTCTTCTGGATGCGACACCAGGGACACTGCACTCACGCAAGAGTCCACAGCAGCTGTGCTTGCTCCACGAGACCTGCTGCTGGTCAACAACTCCAGCCTGGATGGGGGAGGGGCTTGTGAGTTCCACCCCCAGCTGAGGAGGAGCCAGTGGCTACTAGTGGCTGCTGAAGGAAGGGGTATCCCCACTCCCCCCCTGGAGTATGGCAGCCGGTAGGTTGTCCATGCTCATGCAGGTTGTACTCTGGGTTATTTAAAGAAGATGTTAAGGTGTATATGGGGGGGGGGGCATGTGCCCGGGAGGGTCCAGGAGAGGTTGCTGTTGTGGTGGATGCCTTTAGGTCTCAAACTGGGACAAAGGGCCGCGATGCCTATCAACATATCCCAGCAGACTCTGGCCACCAGGTTCTGCCCAGCATCCCACCAAGCCCACCTTACAGGGTCCTTCTGACTGGTGTATGCTGCTCCCTATCCAATGTGCTGCTCTCCAGCCCAGGGGCTGCCCATACGGCCCAGCTCCCCTGGCTCCTAGGTAACTAAGCCACTTTGGCTACATCCGTCTCTTGGCCCAGGCTACCCCTCTTGATCCGTGACTCATCTCTTGCTCTCCCCCAACCCCATGGCCATGTTCACTCTGGATTCTTCCAGATGCCTCTGGCTGTTTTCTCCCTCATATTTACAATAAATAATAAACCTTTGCCTTCACCATACCTAGAAGTAGTCATGTCCTCCTTTTTATTTCTTTTTTATTCAGATATGATCAAGATACATTGTATATATGTATAAAAAATAAATAAAACACTTTTAAAATAAATAAATAGATGATAGTTCTTGAGGGATGTGGGGTGGGTGGTCCTGGGCTGGAAGCATCCCAAAAGAAAGTTTATTCATTTTCTGTTAACAATAGGCTGGTCAGGATAACTGAACTCGTCTAAGTTCCTCACAGTGCTACCTGACCCCACTCTGCTGAGTGCCAGCTCAGTGACTGTGCCGAGAGACTCAGGCTCTCGGAGTCTCAGTCCCTCCCTCAATGACATGGAGGCTGGAACCCAGTCCCAGGGTGGTGGGGATGGCAGTAGCACCCAGGGCAAGCCTGGCACACAGCATTCTCTCCTCCCACAGATGCTTCTAATTGTGCACTGGCAGTGACACATTCACGGCACTGACTTCTGGGGGCTGACGTTAGCAGGAAGCATGCTAATACAACAGCATGCTTCTAGGACAGCCGTCAGATGCCCATCCAACACTTACTGAGGTTGGCAGCCACTGGTGCCTCACTGCCAGGTTTTCACATCTTTCTGGAACGAGGTGGGATGATGTACCTCTCATGGTGTCTGGTCCCCTGCCCTCTTCAGGAGGAGTATTTGGCCCCGAGGACTGGACACTTGGGCCATGTGGCCTGCTCTAATTTCCCAGGCCCTAATCTGCTCCGGGCTCCTAATGATGCCGCTGGTAATAGGATTGTGGTTTCCCTCCGGGTGGCTGCACAGTCCATGGCCGCAAGACTGGCAGTAGGTGCTTGGGACTCTGCTGGTCTGTGAGTAGAGAAGCTCGTCCCTCCAGCCCAGACCTGGGCCACATCCTACAGCGCATGGAATGGTGCCAACCGGCTGGGCTCAGCATGGCGCTGGGTGCTGTCCTGGCCCGGGGACGGGCAGTGTGTAGGCACAACGGGCTACTCATCCTGTCAGTGATGTCTGTCATCGTGGGCTGCCTCCTTGGCTTCTTCCTCAGGACCCAGCGCCTCTCACCACAGGTCAGGCCCCCCGGGTATAAGGGTCTGAAGGGCTGGGGCTCCTAGTGTCATTACAGTAGATGAGCTAGGTTGCTTCTGTGGGCCCCAAGGTTGCCATCTATATCCTGTATGTGTGTGAAAAGGACATACTAGTATGAGAAGTCAGTAAAACAGCTGGCTAAGTGGCAACAGAGCCAGCACAGTCAGGTGGCCGGGGGCAAAGACAGACCATTGAAAAGGGACAGGGTTGAGAGCAAGGGTGGGGAGACCAGCGGTCTTCATGCCAGGGGTTCAGGGTGGGTTTCCTATGCACAGGGTGAGCAGGATAAGGCTCAAGGGTGTATGAAACTTGGGAACAATGGATCAAGCCCGTGTGTGTGTGTGTGTGTGTGTGTGTGTGTGTGTGTGTGTGTGTGTGTGTGTGTGTGTGTGTGGACTGTACAGTGAGACTAAGGGACTGGAGTTCAGGAAACAAGAGCTGAAGGTTCCCATCACCAGACATGGCTCCAGACACTGCAAAGCCATGTAGAGAAGGGAGATAGAGCAGTTCTACACGAGCCATCCCTGGGCTGAATGGGGTGGTAGTGAGCCAGGCAGGAGCAACTGCAGGGGAGTGAGTGACAGGTGGCGTTGGGTGTGAGAGTGGTGTCCCACAGAGGAACTTCAGGTGAAGGGGCTGAAGGGAAGTGGGAGACAGAAGGTGAAGCGTGTAGGTTACCGTGTAAATGAATCATCTGGAACTGTCTCTCTGTGGAATGGGGAAGACACTGGTGCGTTACGTAAGACATTACGGATGCCTGTTCTGACAAGGAAGACACAGCTCAGGACAATGGAGGCAGGTCCTCCTGCTGGAGAGACAAGCCGGAGTTCCACGCAGAGACAGCTGGGGCTCACAGTCCAGGCACAGAGGGATGGGGCCAGCAGGCAGGAAATGACTAAGAGGGGAGACATCAGGAGTGAGGTCCTTTCCTCCTGTAGACAAGGGAGCAAGTATTGAGAAGAGGGAAATAGAGGGGCTTCGGGGTTCTCTCGAGACCCATTTAGTGAGATTTTGTTTATGAATCCACTTTGGAGGCTCAATGAGGAGGGCTTTGTCCTCAGGAGAGTCTGATGGTGGACTCCCGAGCATCCCAGACCCCATACATTCTTCATTCTTTGATAGCTCACGCTGTCTCTGACGCTGCAGCCAGGCTTCAGACTCAGACTCACATCTTCCATTAAAGGGATGGTGACCCCACCCCTGGTAACCAGGCAACCCTGTTCACACCTGAAGCTACTTAGGAAGAAGCAATGACTCCAGAAGCACGTGTTGTTACAAGCTTATGGAGCCCAGGGAGTAGAATGCTGTAGTTTGAATGTAATTGGCCCCTGTAAGCTCATAGGGAGTGTGGCACTAATAGGGGATGTAGCTTTGTTGGAATAGATATGGCCTTGTTGGGGGAAGTGTGTCAATGTAGAGATGGGCTTTGAGGTCTCATATGCTCAAGATACCACCCAGGGCTTCAGACCACTTCCTGTTGCCTTCTGATCAAGATGTAGCCAGCACCATGTCTGCCTGAATGCCACCATGATCCCTGCCACGATGATAATGGACTGAACCTCTGATATTATAAGCCAGCCCCAATTAAATGTTTTCGTTTTTAAGAGTTGCCCTGGTCATGGTGTCTCTTCACAGAAGTTGGTACCAAGGACTGGGGTATTACTGGGATAGGCCTGACCATGTTTTTGTTTGGAGGGATTTGGACTTTGGTACTTTGGGTTAAGAAAGCAATAGATTAATTCCACTGGCAGAAGAAATCTCAAAATAGTCTCGTATAGACTCTGTTATGTGGTTATTAGTTGTAAATAGAATGACGTTTTATAATAAAATTAACAAGTTGAGCAAATAAAAATAGGAAATGTACAGATTTAGAAAAAGAGGCACCAGGAAGTGGAATGGAACTAAGTTCTGTGTTCAAGGAGATAAACGAATTAAGACATGGAATAAAGGGAGTGGACTCAACCTACAATGGCAGGGCTAAGTCCTCTCTCCTCTTTGGCCTCACTTTCTTTATCTGTGGAGTAAAGAGAGCATACTTATCTTCCAGAATTGTTAAGGGAGTAACGATCTGCATTGTCTTGCAGACAGTACGTATCTACTGAATGTCATTTCACCCCCTCTCTTGTCTCCCTGCCAAAGCCATCTGTGATGGCTAACCTTGACACTCTGATTTAGAATTGCCATGGTAACACACGCCTGGGGAAGTATAAGAGGCCATCTGCAGGAAGGTTTAAGTGAAGAGAGAAGACCCACCTTGAATGTGGCAGCACCGTCCCATAGGTGTGGGGCTGGAGGGATGGGCAGATTAAAGAAAAGGAGAAGGCAAGTCCAGCACCAGCATCCTCCCTGCTTCCTGACTCTGCACTGTGAGCAGTTGCCTCGAGTTCTTGCTTTGGTGCCTTCCCGGAGAACGGCTGGATCTTTTCCACCTGCGAGCTGAAATAAACCGTCCCCTCTGTGACCCTGTCACTCTTCAATCTACACTCAGGTTCTGAAGCAGCAACTATGCCTTTACTTCCTGCAGGAAGATTATTTTGTGAAAACAAGTTGGGATGCCAGTTAGTAAAAGCCTGACATCTGGGACCTCCAGCACCAGAGCTGCCCTCCCCGTATGTTTGGGTGTGTGGATGTCTTCAGGTCTGGACTAACCGGCCAGATACATTGAAGGAGGCATGGATGGAGTGTGAGAGAAGTTATTTGGCAGGAAGTGGCTCTTGAGCATCATCCTCTGAAAGCCAGGGTTTTTCTGTTTGGTCTCTCTGTCTGTGGCTCAGACAGCAATGCCTTAATTGTTTGAGCTTATGCAATATGCAGAAATCATAAACAATTTTGGAAATGGCAGAATGTTCTATTTGTGAAATGAAACTCACAAAATTAATGTGATTTTACCTTTGGATGCGAATAATTCATTTAAAAGGAGAGATATTTTGAGATTTCCACTTAAGCAATGAGGATTTATAATTACACCCATTTCCTTTCCTTCCTAGGAGTTCGATGAAAATGTAAAAACCATTGCATTTATTTTGTGTGCATAGGCAAGCATTTACAAACACACACACACACACACACACACACACACACACACCACAGAGCACATATGAAAGTCAGAGGACAATTTGCAGGAGTCAGTTCTCTCCAGGAATTGAACTTAAAGGATTGGCAGCTTGGCAGCAAGCCCCTTTACCTGCTAAGCCATCTCATCAACCCTGATAGAATATTTTCAAGGACGTAAACTACCCAAACTAAAGAGAACATAGAGTCATTGAGAAAGAACTCTAACTGTATAGTATGGGAAGTGGGTGGAGCTGGCTAGTCCCCTCTAATAGAGCCCAGGAGGCTGGCATCCTGGCCCATAAGAGCAGATGCTGAGTGGCTTTCCTCACAGACTGCAAAGGGAGCCCAAGAAGCTGGCATTCTAGCCCATAAGAGTAGATGCTGAGTGGCTTTCCTCACAGACTGCATAGGGCTCTGATAGGGAAGGACAAAGCAGGATGAAGCAATCTGCAGACCCTGGCATTCAAGGTGCAGCCTCCCCAGCAGAACCCTGGGACAGCTGGCAGCCAGCATAGGCACAAGGTCTCTTGTTAGAGCCTCAAAAAGACCTGTGAATTCTTTGAGAAAACAGGCTCTTGTCTCCTCCATGCAGGTCACACCCATCACTCTGCCCTGAGAGACCCTCAGTGACAAGCCCAGAAGCTTCATACTCCACACTTACCTAAGAGCAGGAGTCACTAGAAATGTGAGAAAAGTTGCAAATGTCAAACCACAGACTAAATGAAGAGAAAAGAGGGTCTCTGGAGACTTAAAAGCATTTTTTAAGGGCTGGCAGTGGCGGTGCACACCTTTCATCCCAGGACTTGGGAAGCACAGGCAGGCGAATCTCTGTGAGTTCAAGACCAGCCTGGTCTGTAGATCAAGTTCCAGGCCAGCCAGAGCTACATAGCAAGGCCTTTTCTCAGAAAGTTCATTTCTTAAGATCTTTGGAGACATGAGAGATAGCATAGTTATCATAAAACAGAATGGGGGGGCAGTCAATACGGCTCAGCAGAGATAGGTGCTTGCTGTCAAGCCTGACGACTTGAGTTCAATCCCCAGCAGGACCCACACAAAGGAAGGAGAGAACTGGCTCCTGAAATTGTCCATTGACCTCCACATGCATGCTGTATGTAGCACATGTGGTCCACACAAATACACACGAGTAAATAAATAAATGCAATTTTTACAAACAGGGATGTAGGGGCAGTAGTACAACTTGATGTTACTGCGTGCTTAGCGTATGTAAAGTCACAGGTCACAGTCCCAGAACCACAAACATCAAACAACAACAGCAACAGATTGAACGGTCTTGGTTTGGTTCTGTTGCTGTGATAAACTCCACAACCAAAAACAACCTGCAGAGGAAAAGGCTTATTTATGCTTATAGTTGTAGTCCATCACAAAGCGAAGTCAGGACATCACAAAGCGAAGTCGGGACAGACACTCAAGGCGGGAACCTGGAGGCAGGAGCTGATGCAGAGGCCATGGAGGAGGGCTCCTTACTGGCTTGTTTAGCCAGCTTTCTTATACAGCCCGAGACCACCTGGCCAGTGGTGACACCACCCGCAGTGGGCTGGGCCCTCCCACACCAATCATTCGTCAAGAAAATCCCTCCTAGACTTGGCTCAGGCCAATCTTCTGGAGACATTTTCTCTGAAAGGACTGGAGTTGCCACAGGTCCCACCAAGACCAAGTTCTCAGCACAAAGGAGATTTATTTGCCGGAGAGGGACAAAGGACAGAGAACAAGAGACAGAGACGGGAGATAGAAGACAGATGAGAAGGCAAAGGGAACAAGGGAAGCAGGGAAGGGACATTTGCCCTGGGAGGGACAAAGGACTATCTCCGGATCGAGAGGAGACAGACATGGCCCACAGGCAAATGGCAGTTTATAAAGGGGACCCCCCATGTTAGCATGAGGTGTTGAATTTTGATTGGATAGATTAATTAGGTGAGCCAAAAAAATGGGTTTTTGATTGCTGGACTTCGATACTTTGATAGCTGGACCTTGGCAGTAAGCCTCAGGAGGAGGAAGTGCCATATAGCGGAATTCCTTGGGGGCTAGCTTCAGGAATGTAATCTAACAGTTTTTAGCAAAGAAGACGGGTAGGGCAGAGAGGGACAAGGCCTGCCATAGCCGTGTTTGCCATGCCTGTTAGAGACCCTTCGTTCTCAGCTTAGGCTTTTCTTCCTAGATGACCCTGACAAAAACCTAACCAGCACAGATGCTAACGAGGAGGGACAATCAAGAATAAAAAAGAATGTTTGGAATGTTAAAAAACAAGAACCAACATCAAACCTGGGAAGGGGATGTAGAAATCTGACAAATGATGAAATATGAAAACAAAGAATGTCCAACAAAAAAATGGAGGAGAGAATTGCAGCAAACACAAGGAAGCTTCCCAGAATAGAAGTTCAGAAGGAGAAAGACAAGGAAGGAAGCTCTTCCCCTACAGCCACACATTGCTGTGAAGTTACAGGAAGATGGAGAAAAACAGACGAGTCTCAAGTGGCAAAAGGCGGGGCATAAGGCAAGGCTCCCGTGAGAAGCAGGAACCGACTGGCAGGTTAAGGAAAGGCAGCCCGATGGCTCACAGGTGGAGGTGCTTGTCTGGCAACTAGTTTGATCCCTGGGGCCCACATAAAGGTAGGAGGAACCAACTCTACAAAGTCATCCTCTGGCCTGTTTGCCACCCCACACACATATGCACACTACTAATAAGATAAACTAAAAGCCAGAAAATAAAATTGTGTTCCAGTAAGAGCCTCAACTATAACCAGATTGTTGTTAGAGGGAAGGGTAGGGCCGAGGTAATTTAACTGAAGGACTCGCAAGTTGCCCTCTGAACCTTTTCTCAGGAAACTACCAAAGGAGATGGTTCCACCAAAATAAGGACGGAAATAAACTTGGACGGAAACACTGGATCCTATGCAGGATACATCCCATAATGGAAGCCAAGAGGCCAGGACAGCAGCTGGGCCTTGACTCCTGGCCCTCCCCAAACCAGAGCAGGAAGGTGGAAAACTGCTGGCCTCAAGTCCAGATGAGATGAAAGGGAACGGATGTGCCCCTGTTGTAGCGAATGCTCGCTTAGATGTTTCCAGAGATAATAACATTTGGAAGAAATTAATGAGGATCTCAAAGAAAACAGAGCAAATAAAAACCAGTCAAATATTAATTTCAAGGACAACGTGTAAATTGTACAAGTAACGGGGCATTGCTACAAGGATGTCGCTTGGCTCAGCAGTGAACAGCATTTGATGATTAAGATATTGTTAGTCTTGGGCTTGTGAAATGGCTGGGCAGGTACAAGAGCTACCATGTGAGTTTTATTGCTAGAGCCCATGGTAGAAGGAGAGAAGTGACTTCAAGTTGTTCTCTGACTGCCACATATGTGCCACCACACATACACACACACACACATACACACACACACACACAAGCATACATATGCATACACACAATTAATGCAAAAAAATTAGAGGAAACAGCTATGCAAGAGACCAGGTTTACTCTCCAGTACTACATACACTCAAAGATACAGACATGATACATAACGAGTGCATTTTTGTGAGATTTTTCTGGCACATTGGAAATGCTAACATAATGGACCTAGAAAACCCATATCTCTCTCTTGCGTGTCCCCAGGTGGCAAGTAACCCTCCTCTCCCGGGTCAGCTTCCTGTCTGTGATATGAGTGGGCTGGGTGGGATCAATAGCACCACAATCCTATGGCTTGGGGTTTTTCAAGGCATCGGACCACCCCCAACATTGCTTTCATTTATTTTTTTCTTTGAGACAATGTCTCACTATGAAGCGCTGGCTGACCTGGAACTTACTATATAGACCAGGCTGGCCTGGAACTCTAGATATCTGTCTGTGTGCACACTCAAGCCCTGGGATTAAAGGTGTGTGTGCACCACACCCAGCTTGGCACTAGTTTTTTTATTTTATTTTTTTAAGATTTATTTATTTGCTGGGCATTGGTGGTGCACGCCTTTAATCCCAGCACTTGGGAGGCAAAGGCAGGCAGATCTCTGTGAGTTCGAGGCTAGCCTGGTCTACAAAGTGAGTTCCGGGACAACCTCCAAAACAATACAGAGAAACCCTGTCTGGAAAAAAAAGAAAGATTTATTTATTTACTACATATACAGTGTTCTGACTGTATGCCAGAAGAGGACACCAGATTGAATTGTAGATGGTTGTGAGCCACTATGTGGTTGCTGGGAATTAAATTCAGGACCCCTGGAAGAGCAGTCAGTGCTCTTAACCTCTGAGCCATCTCTCCAGCCCTTGGCACTAGTTTTTTTTTTTTATTAATATGTATACAATGTTCTGTCTGCACGCCAGAAGAGGGCACCAGATCTCATTACAGATGGTTGTGAGCCACCATATGGTTGCTGGGAATTGAACTCAGGACCTCTGGAAGAGCAGTCAGTGCTCTTAACCTCTGAGCCATCTCTCCAGCCCTTGGCACTAGTTTTTAAGACAGTTTCAGGCATCAAAATGGAATTTGGATGGTGTCTGCAGATCCTTCAGCCTCTGCCACCCACATCCCCCCTCTCTGGCATAAGGACCCCAGTCAAGGATTGCCAGGAACAGACCCGAAGTCCAGCTTTAGAAACAGTACCCCAGTTGTAAGTTTCAGACAACCCATGAGTTATTCTGGAGAACAAGTAAAGGACAGAGTTCCGTTATCATCTGGAAGGCACACCTAACAGTGCATGCCTTCCTTCAGTCGTGTGGCTCCTCTTGTTGGGTCCCTCTCCTGGGGACTGCCAGTGGGGAACAGCTTATGGCCAGGACTGGTAGGGGCTAAGCCCAGGCCCTGGCAGCCCTCATGAACTAGGTTCAGCCTCACCCTCAATAAATCAGTTAAAGAAACAAATGGTAGTGAAAGGCAGAAAATGAAGGTTTATTTCATGTGACCCAATGTGGCCTCTGGAGCCATCTTCACAGTCCTGGTATGAAGGTTTAAGAATAAATAGAGGGCAAGAGGTACCTGTAGCTAAGCGGTCCTGGCTGTGTTCTCACCATCATCAACCCACCATTGTCTTGGCTCCTCTTTCTTTTACGAGATGGTCCAGCAAGTCATCAGAACTGTGTGAAATCTCTCCAGGGAGACCAGTTCTTCTGGCTGCCCCTAGACTTGAGCCTTTTTCTTCCAACATAAGGCTCCTGGGGAAATTCCAATCCCTTGGGGTATATTGTCTCAATGGTATGACAGCCTAAGGGAGGGACACTTGTGTCTTTTTAGAATGTCTTCATTTCTACCAGGGTGGTTACAAGCTATCTGGACAAGGAGGCTTCTGTCCCATCTGCTCCCGCAGCCGATTCACCCCAAATGATCATTATAAAACTGTTGGCCGATGGCTAGGGCTTCTTACTGGCTCATTCTCTCTTAATTATTTACCCATTTCTATTAATCTATGTATTGCCATGAGGGTGTGGCTTACCTTTAACCTGTCATGTTACTCCTTTGGCAGCATGGCTTCTCTTCATGTCCTCTCTCTTCCTCCCCCCGCAACCTCACCTCCTAGTCCCGCCTATCCTCCTGCCTCTACTGGCCAATCGATGTTTTATTCATCAACCAATAAGAGAAGCATATATACAAAAGAACATCCCCCATCAGATGATGGGTCCTTTACACTGAATGGGACCTTTGCCTCAAAGCCAGTATGTCTCAGGAGTAAGCTAGAGGAAGGAATCTTACTGGCTTATGAGAAGGCTGTGATTCTTTGGTCAGTCTCCTCATTCACTAGACTGGGACCTTTTCTGGGGCAGGAACTTTGCTTTAGTCCATTTTGGGGACCCGAGTGATGCCTGGCCTAGTGTGGGTTGTGGAGACAGCATGAATCCCTGCCTTCCTGCTGCTTATTATCTGGGAGATGGAGTAGACTTCACTTCTTGGATGGGTGGAGAATGGTGCTAATAGGGAAAGCTGCACTGAACTTGATTCTGAAATGCTCATGCAAGGTGCTGAGTGCTCACGCCGTCTCTCAATTGAGCCTCCCAATGACTCTGTGAAGTAACTATTATCCTCCTGTTGGAGATAAGGAAACTCAGAGGGCTATGATGGAGGGGCTCATCAGGATCTTCCACAGGCTCCCTGCTGTGCAGACGCCAGAGTGGACAGTGCACTGGAGATGGTAAGGAAACAAGCAATATGGAGTCTGTGCCACCTGTTCTGACCCAGATCTTGCTGTGTTTCCAGGAGATTAGTTACTTCCAGTTCCCTGGTGAACTCTTGATGAGGATGCTGAAGATGCTGATCTTACCACTGGTGGTCTCCAGGTGAGAGGGAAGGGCACAGGGCTCTGATTGGTGGACAGGGAAGAGGAGGGGCGGGGAGGGCACAGGGCGCTGACTGGTGGTCTCCAGGAAAGAGGGGGAGAAGGGGAGAGGGAGGGCACAGGGTGCTGACTGGTGGTCTCCAGGGGAGTATAGACAGAAGCCCTTTTCTTGTCTGCCGCTTTGGTTTTTTCCCCACCAGTCGCCTGGGCTCTGCCGCATTGTAGTCCCCAAATAACATACAAGATGCTGTATTAATTATGAAGATGTTGGCCTTGCTTGTTTCTTACTGGCTAGCACTGACTTAAGTACCCCATAATTGTTAATCTAAGTATTTCTCTTACTGGAGAAAAGTTCCAGACATCTTACTTTTCTGGTGGGCTACATCGTGACTCCCTGTGTTTCTCCTTCCCAGAGTCCTCCTGGACTCCTAGTCCCACCTATCTTGCTTCCCTATTGGCCAACAGTGTTTATTGACATATACACAGAACTTCCCCATCAGGGGAGGGCATGGAGCTCTGTCCTGGAAGCCAACCTCCCTGACTGTCTGCTGTGGAGGAGCTGGGCCCCTCTTGTGAGGTGGACACAGTGTTTCCAGTCAGCCTACCAGTCAGCTGCTGCTGCCACCTCCCTTCAGGAGCCTGAATCCTCAACCCACAGCAATTATTGCCTCCTTTTATGCGAGTTTTCAGTCATTGCTGTGACACAACTCCCAAGAAAGCCAACTCGAGGAAGGAAGGTTTACCCTCACCGAATCAGAGGTCTCGGTCCATGGTCACTGGGCCTGAGCAGAGCATGGTGGTGGGGAGCATGTGTGGAGGACAGTTGCTTAGCCTGTGCACCTGAACTGCAAAGGGAGAGCCAGGGAGAGCCAGGGAGGAGCTGTGGTCCCAATACATCCTCAAGAGCACACCACGAGTGACTTGCCCCAATACCCCCAATAAGTTAAGAACCCAGCAGTGAATGAGCCCAGAGCCCCATGACCTACTTCCAGAAGATCCCATCTCTGAACACTGTGGCACTGGGACCACACCTCCAATACATGAGCTTGGAAGGACACTTCAAATAAAAACCATAACCAACTACAATCTCAGCACCCCCAAGAACAGAGCGCCCCATCTCTCCTATAAGTCCCACGGGCTATTAACCAACTACCTGGTGTCTCTGCCATGGATGGCTCACAGCTTCTGAAGTTCAGAGTCACCAGCTAGAGATTTTACCCAGCACTGAGCACCCCCCCCACTTCCTGCCGTCAGTAAATGGCTGCTGCAGCTGCCCAGTCCCATGGCTCCTTCCTCGTCCAGAACCAGACTGTCAACAACCTGAGCTGGCTGTCTCCTGGGTAGAAGAACCCTCCGCGTGGGCACAGAGCTCCCTCTTCCTCATCTGGACCCATAGGCAGCCTGCTGGTCCCCACACCTCAGTTCTTGTGCTGTCTCTTCTCCCCCCAGGGGCCAGAACAGTCTCAGGAAATCTCACACCACTGCCAGAGCTGGCAGCCTTTGATCCCTGATCAGACCAGACCCTTCCCTTGCTTGGGGCCTCTGCTCATGCTGTTCCTTCTGCCTGGGTCCCTCTTATCCTCCTCTATTCCTCCTTTGTGTCTCCACAACATAGAGGTGCCTCCTTAGAAAGGCCCCCTCCACCAAACCCTCCCCACCGTCCTTGCTAGGTCCGTTCTGCTCCGCCCTCCCCCAAGACACTTACTGTTCCTTGCTATTCCGTGTGTATTTGCTTGTCGTCTTGTCCATGATCTTCCGAGGACTGCAATCTTAGAATACTTGTCTAACGAGTCAGTAGCTATATCTGCACTCCTGCGCATGCCTGCCGGGTACTCAACCCTGATGAGTACTGCAGACCCAGAACTTAGTCTCTGAGCTCAAGTTGCTTGTGGGCTCTGGGCAAGACTGGCCAGGGAAACACAGTCCTCCAGCAGCTAAGGAAGTGAGACAGGCTTCCTTCTGGGAAGCTTTGTGTCCCTTTGCTGTGCTTTTACTGTCCTTGCTGCCTGGGCAGTTAGTCAGAACACAGATGCCACACACAGCAGACCCTGTAGTCAGGCTGCATTTCCTACCCTGGCCTTGGCACTTGGCTCAAGGAAATCCTGATTGGAAGTCTGTGGCCTCACACCTTGTCTTCCTCTGTCATCATATGGCCTGGAGTAAGACACCCTTCCCCAACCTGTGCTCCTGGTGACAGATGTCTATCTGTCCAGCCCTTCAGTCCCTTCCTCTCTACTAGACTAGAACCCGCCTCCTGGCTGGGGTTGGAATGCTGTCTTAACTTGAGAAAAGCCAGTGTGTTCATGTTTCCTTTGTTTATTATTCTGTGAGGGCTGGTGCAGAGCAACTCTGCCACTGAGAGATGGACATGCTTTAACGTTCCTACCAGGAGACAATGACTTATTGCTCTTTTGTTTCTTTCCTGCTCTGGAGTGCAAAGCCAGGGTCTCACAAAGGCGAAACAAGTTGTTACCACTGAGCCTGATCCAAATCCCAGAATGATGTGTTTCTGACCCTCCTAGTCCCGAGCCCTGCCTCCCTAATTCTTAAGCAAGACTGTAGTCTGTGCTCCATCCACCACTGTCCCCTGAGCAGCCAGCCTGGGCTGGCGTTCCTGCCCCAAGGAGCACCACTCTGATGTGGGCACCACTCAGGTGGTTCCAGGCACAGTGAGTCAGATGCCAGGCCTCAGCCCGGACTTAATGCTAGGGACTCAAGGGACTCAAGGCAGGGTGAACTTCTGAAGCCTCTCGGGTGTTCTGAATTTTTTTTTAAACTGATTGTCTTGGGGTCAGCCTCTCAGCTGGGTAGCTGGAGAACCTGCTTGAGGGCTGTAGTACCTCCACCCCGGGGCTCCTGGCTGTGCCCGAGGAGCCAGTGGCTCTCTGTACAACTGCCTCAGGGAGGTGGAGGGCACCACCACTGTTGGCTCCACTTCATCTCTGGGCCGACCTGCCGACTGGTCCCGAACCAGGCGCTGGGACCATGCTGGCCACCTAGTCACTGCTAAGCATGCCACATGTCCTTGTGTCTTCCCACCTTCTCTTGCACTGTCCTGGGCCTCTCTTCTTTTAATTCAAAGTCTCGCATGCCTTCTTGCTCATGTTCCTGCCTGAAATCCTCCTGGCTTCTTATTTGTTGGTAGCTATGGGTGACGGCCTGTGTCCTCCTCCTGCCACATTTGTAACCCTGGATGTGTCAGAACCACCAGGCTTGGGATCTGGGTGCCTTTGTAAAGACCCCTGGTGACAACATGCAAACGAGCGTTTCTCCCTGGAACGGCCACTTATCCCAGCCTGGAGTGATTCATGGGCAGCACTCTTCCATTCAAAGGGTCCTGGGAGGACCGGGCAAGTTTCCCTGTCTTCCACACTGACCTCTACCCGGTACTCTTGATGCAAGAGACTGGAGAGAGGCATGACGATGACACTGAAGGCTGCCTTGGAGAGCCTCACCAGTGGGAGACCAGGGGGCTTGGTTGGTATCCATCTCAGTCATTCTTCCACAATCTGTATCTCTTAACTCTTGAACCTCCTTTGTCTAGAATCTACTACAACCTAGCCCAGGGGAATGCAGCCTGCCTTCGCTGTCTGTGGTTGTGGAATGACAGTGAGGGAAGGGTGGGTGAAGCTGGGGTCCTGCACAGGGCTCCAGGAAAAAGCAGGACCTCTGGGATCCCCCCCTAGATGTGTGTGCCCCTCAGCAGTTATCTGTTTGGGAGGGGTTGAAACACGCCAATGAGTATATGTGGAGGTCAGAAGACAACTTGTGGGAGTCCCCTCCTTCCAGCATGTAGGCTCCGGGATAAAACTCAGGTCTCCGGTCCTGGAGGCCCCGCCTTTAGTTCCTGAGCCATCTCACTGGCCCTAGACGGGCATGGGAGCCTGGGCGGCACCCGCAAGGTGGGAAGATGGGAAGGTCACCCTGCTCACAGGGCTGCTGTGAGAAGGCACATGATCAGGCACAACCCGGCGCATGACGGGTGCTGCACGCTCATTTCTAACTTACTAAAGTGTCTCTGAGGCCCAGGTATTTGGCAAAGCAGCTACCTCTGCTCCTGCTGTCAGGGGTCCTAGCAGCTACAGCATACACGGCACCTCCCCTGGGAAGTTCTCTTGGATAGAAACATTATTGACACAGCCATTCATTCGGCTCTGAACCTCCCAAGTGGTACACCCATGTTCCTCCAATCTCACCATGATTCAGTCATGGCATCCTGAGTCACTCCTCTTCATGTCTCTTGAGTTCTCAGAATCTCTGCTTCTTGTTTCCCTCTGTTCTCACGACCCTACACCAGTCTCCCACTCCTGTGGGTGTCCCTTGTTCTGAGTCGGTTGGTCACAAACCGAGCAACTGCTCTGTGCGCTGGGAGAGAACACTGGGGTCTTCAGCCTCCTTTGTCTGTTTTATCCAAAGCCAAAACCTGATTAGGTCTCCTCAGTTTCTCTGTTTCACAGGGTCCCAGTGTAGGGTCAGCTGGGTCTCTTCTCATCTGGGAGTTCTCCTGTGGAAAAATCCACTTCCAAGCTCCCTCAAGCCATGGGTAGAAGTTGCATCTAGTAGCCTGAGGTCCAGCTTCTGTTGTTTTTGTTTGCTTGTTTGCATGCGTGTGTGAGTGTGTGAGTGCGTGTGTGTGTGTGTGTGTGTGTGTGTGTGTGTGTTTGCTTTGAGACATGGTATCCTGTAGTTCAGACTGGCCTCAAAATTAATATGTAACCAAGGGTGATTTTGAACTTCTGATCCTTTTGTCTCCTCCTCCTATGCACCAAGATTATAGGCCTTCACTACCACACCAAGTGCTGGGGATTAAACCCAGGGCTTCAGACATACTAGGTAAGCAATCTCCAACTGAGGTACAAACCTAGCCCCATGGGCCAGCTTCTTGATGGCTGCTCTCTGTCCTGGGCCATCTGCTTCCTGCCCCCTTCACAAATGGTTCATAACATGGCTTTAGCTTTGTCATGGCTGGCCAGAAGCCCCCGCCTCCCATCTTCCAAGGCAAAGTCACATGTGATATGCCCATGCATGTTATATGTTCCATGGTCATGAGCGTTACCTCCCATCACTTTTGTCCTGCCTGTTAGGAGCAGGTCACACTCAGGAAAGGACTGCACAGGGCAGGGGCCTAGGAGGTCACCTTCGGGAGGATCTACCTTTTTCTCCCTCTCCTCCAGTTTCCCTCTTTATCTTCTGGAACAGTCTGGGTTCTGGCCTTTGTGTTTCAAAGTCACCTCCACTCAAACTGTCCTTGCAGTGAGGTTGCATTGGGTGGGGCTTCTCAGACTCTGCTCTTCCAAAAATTTCTTCTGAAGTAGTACAATGGCTTTACCATAGAGACACAACACACAGAGCAATAGGTGACTCTCACTGCCCAGGCAGGCTCTGGGACTCAGTAGGTGCCTAATAATGCCTACTTAGTGAGTAAATAGCCATGAGAAAGCGGTGGGGGTTGAGCTCAGGACAAGCTTCATGGCCAACATTAGAACTGAGTCCTGAGGGAAGTTAAGGCTTGTCTTTTGTTTATATTGTTACTAATGATTATTTTGGAGGCAGGTTGCATGAATCCCAGGCTGGCCTCAAAACTTTTGATCCTCCTGACTCTGCCTCCCAAATGCTGGGATTCCAGGCTGTTTGCTGGTGGGACGATTTGGTTACTTATTTGTGTGACCAGAGTGATTTCAGGCTTTCTGTGTTCTGAGTCTAAGGCCCCACTGGTCTCAGCTGCAGACCTATCTTGTGTGTGATTATCTGGAGTGAATTCAGTTCCATGTTCTCTGAAGGTAGGAGATTCCCCTTCGAGGTGCTGGTTCCTCCTACCCCACTCCACTTTCGTGAGTCCCTCCAAGTGCAGCCGTTCTGCAGGCCTGGAGCCCTGGAGGCCTGGAGAGGGGCTCTCCTCAGCCGGTGATTTCCATGCTCATGCTGACTGCCATATCTGATGTTCACCCAGTGAAGAAGCGAGACTTGTTGGGTGAGCCTCAGCAGACCCAGGCCTCATTAACATCTTAGGCAAGTGTAATTGGGCTTGGTTTGTGCCTTCTTTACTGACTGGAAAACTCAGTTCAGGCTGAAGGCCAGGTTCTTGCTCTTGAGACCTCATTTCCAGAGGCCAATGTCAGTTTATGTCACTCAGTAGAAGCTATGGGTAGCTCAGAGGGGTAGTATGACTGGCCAGCCATTAGCCCTGAGGCTCTGGGTCTCTTTGCCTCCTGGAATTGCTGGACTCATGAAGTACACAAGACACATGTCCCTGCTCTAGCTACAGACATACTGTCACCTCTTCCATAAATCACCCCCAAGCACTGATTCTTCCTTGTTCCTCAAGCTCCTCAACATGCTCCAAGGATTAGCACCCTAGGGTTGAGCCTTGGTCCCCCTTTCCTTTCCAGGTTCTCCTGAGGGTCTTTCCTGCCGGCTGAACCTGTGGGCTCTCTGAGTACACTGCCACTAACCTCAGTAACAAGGAACAGGGTTTAGAGCTTTAGTCTTTTCTTGCAAAGGGCCCTTGAGCCTCTCTTGCAAATTGGTGCCTCTTTCTACAACTCTATAGGTTTTCCATCAAACCACAAAGGGCCCCACTTCCCCTAGGCAGCAAGCTCCCTCTTGTCTCACATCTGCCATTGGGGAACTTTTTCTCAAAGTGAAAGTGACAGCAAGGAAAGTCTCTATCACTGAGTGTTGACACCTCGTAAAAATTGAAAACTTCTGCATCACATGACAATGATGGTCTGATGGGCAGAATCTGCTATCACTGTCCTTAATTTATGTGGGGGCCTCACCCAGAGTGGTGCTTAGGTGGGTGCCAAGTAGTTTGCCATTCTCAGCTCTCCTCTGCAACTGTACCATTCCTGATTCCTTTCACATATGCCCTGGGACCTAGAAGCCATCTTTTCCCACTTTCTCCCAATAAGGATGCTTGTTGCTGCACATATCTCTTTCCTCTTAAATTCATAGACCAATGGGGGGAGGGGGAGGGAGGGAGGGAGGGAGGGAGAGAAGAAGGGAGAGAGGGAGGGAGAGAGGGAAGAAGGAAACCAAAAACACACACTTTCTGTTCCTTTAAGTTCTTGGAGGATACCTTCCTGTTTCTTCCATAAAAACAAATCTGCCTCCTGCTTGCTTTGGTTTTCATTCAACAAAATGTCCTAAGAGTTTCCACCCTGCACCTGTGCCTTGGGGGCTCTTGCTAGACTCGGCCACTGGGGACTGCAGC